ACCTTTGTTCTCTCTTCCACCCCGTATCTTTGGAAGCACTTGTTTTGTCCATAACCTTACTCCTGGAACAGATAAGTTAGCTCCTCGTGCTCTTAAGTACGTATTTCTGGGTTACTCGAGAACACAAAAGGGGTATCGATGCTACTCTCCTGACCTCCAGCGGTACCTTATGTTCGCCGATGTTACCTTCTTTGAAACCCAATCATACTTCACAGGTTCAGGTCATTACTTAGATATTTCTGAGGTACTTCCAGTTTCATCTTTTGGAGATTAAGTCACTCTAGCTCCCACCACTTACAGCTCCAGTTACAGCTCCACCACCTACAGCTCCAGTTGCAGCTCCTACAGCTCCAGTTGTAGCTCCATCACCTATAGCTCCAGTTCCTCCACACAATCCAGTTCAACCTTCTGCAGCTCCACCACTCTTGGCTTGTCATCGTCGTCCACATCCAGCATCAGGCCCAGATAATTCACGCCCTGCATCGGATTCTGCACCTACTGCGGACTTGTCTCCTCTTAGTCAACCAATTGCACTCCGCAAAGGTGTACGATCCACACTTAATCCTAATCCTCACTATGTCGGTTTAAGTTATCATCGTCTGTCGTTACCTCATTATGCTTTTATATCTTCTTTGTCCACTATTTCTATCCCTAAGTATACTGGTGAGGCACTATCTCATACTGGTGAGGCACTATCTCATCCAGGATGGCGACATGCTATGATTGACGAGATGTCTGCTTTACATGCGAGTGACACTTGGGAGCTTGTTCCTCTTCCTGCAGGTAAGTCTACTGTTGGTTGTCGTTGGGTTTATGCAGTCAAAGTCGGCCCGGATGGCCAGGTTGATCGGCTTAAGGCTCGTCTTGTTGCAAAAGGATATACTCAGATTTTTGGGCTTGATTATAGTGATACTTTCTCTCCCGTGGCTAAAGTAGCATCTGTTCGTCTCTTTTTGTCCATGGCTGCTGTACGTCATTGGCCTCTTTATCAGTTAGACATTAAGAATGCTTTTCTCCACGGTGATCTTGAGGAAGAAGTTTATATGGAGCAACCACCTGGTTTTGTTGCTCAGGGGGAGTTTAATGGTTGTGTGTGCAGATTGCGCAAGTCACTATATGGTTTGAAACAGTCCCCTCGAGCTTGGTTTGGTAAGTTCAGCACAATTATTCAGGAGTTCGGCATGACTCGTAGTGAGGCTGATCACTCTGTGTTTTATCGCCATTCTGCTCCTAATCTGTGTATTTATCTAGTGGTTTATGCTGATGATATTGTTATTACTGGCAATGATCAGGATGATATTACTAATCTGAAGCAGCATCTCTTTCAACACTTCCAGACTAAGGATCTGGGCAGATTGAAGTATTTTCTAGGTATTGAGGTCGCTCAGTCTAGCTCAGGTATTGTTATTTCACAGCGGAAGTATGCCTTAGACATTCTTGAGGAGACTGGAATGATGGGTTGCAGACCTATTGACTCTCCTGTGGATCCGAATGCTAAGCTTCTGCCTGGACAGGGGAGCCTCTTAGAGACCCTACGAGATATAGGAGGTTAGTTGGAAAATATAATTACCTCACAGTGACTAGATCTGGCATTTCTTTTCCGGTGAGTGTTGTAAGTAAGTTTATGGATTCTCCCAGTGATAGTCACTGAGATGCAGTTGTTCGCATTCTTCGGTATATAAAGTCAGCTCCAGGCAAAGGATTACTATTCGAGGATCGAGGCCACGAGCAGATTGTTGGGTACACAGATGCCGATTGGGCAGGATCACCTTTTGATAGACGTTCTATGTCTGTATATTGTGTTCTAGTAGGAGGTAATTTGGTCTCGTGGAAGAGCAAGAAACAGAATGTAGTTGCTCGATCTAGCGCCGAAGCCGAATATCGGGCCATGGCTATGGCAACGTGTGAGTTAGTTTGGATCAAGCAGTTGCTCAAGGAATTAAAGTTCGGAGAAATCAGCAAGATGGAACTGGTGTGTGATAACCAAGCTGCTCTTCATATTGCGTCAAATCCGGTGTTTCATGAGAGGACTAAACACTTTGAGATCGACTGTCACTTTGTCAGAGAAAAAATACTTTCAGGAGATATTGTTACAACGTTTGTAAAGTCGAATGATCAACTAGCAGATATTTTCACTAAGTCTCTTACTGGTTCCCGTATTAGTTACATGTGTAACAAGCTCGGTACATATGATGTGTATGCACCGGCTTGAGGGGGAGTGTTAGTTTAGAGCTATGTACATAACATAGTCTTGTCCCACATTGGAATTGGAATAATATGTCCTTGTAGTGTATAGCTATAAATAAGGACCTCTTGTATTGTATTCATTATCTAATATCAATAACATATTTTCTCCCGTGCCTTCTCACAAATTCAAAACTAAATTCCCTTTCATCCAATAGTACAAATTCTCCATACATCTATATTTAACAACAGCAAGCATCTCCTTTTTGTCTTCAAAACATCTCCTATTTCTTTCACTCCATATAGTCCAAGCAATTCACAGAGGAATAGACGTCCAAATCTTCTTGTGAATTCTGCCAGTATAATATGCCTTCCGGCAGCATTACAAACTTTTAAAGCTATGAGGTGCTGCCCAATACACTCCAAAAATTATCGAGAACATAGTCCCGAGCTGCAGTAAAAATGCAGTGTATGAAAAGGTGATCAGCGGATTCAATAGAGCTTTCACATAAATAACACCTGCCTCATAGCTTATATCCTCTTTTTTGCAACTTCTCATGGGTTAGACAAGCTCCATGAGCTACCAACCACCCAAAACATGCCACTTTAGGAGGGACTAGTGTCCTCCAAATCATCTTCCAAGGCCAAGAAGTAACATTTTCAGAGAATCTTCCTGAAGCAATCTGTAGAAGGAATATTCTCCATCTTTGCTTGCCTTCCAAAACATAGCATCATTTTACGCCTGTCTAGCACAACAGATTGCATTTTACACAGAAAAGCTCATTTAGTGTGGATCCTTATTGATGTTCATTTTTCAACTCCCAGTCATAAAAGTCCCTCCTGAATTGAAAATTCGATCCTGCCATACTAAAGCAATCAGCCAGCAATATATCAGAAAGATTCACCAGCCTATATAAGACTGGAAATTGATCCTTTAGCAGCCCTTCTCCAACCCAATTATCTTTCCATAGCCTAATTCTTTTTCCATCTCCCACTGTCAAGACAGTATACTTAGCAAAGTCTTCCCAAAGGTTGGCAATTTGTCTCCAAATAGAACCACCATAAGCTGTTTCAACAGGTTCTGGGGCCCAAAAACCTTCTCTACCATATTTGATTTCAACGACATTTCTCCAGATTCCTTACTGTAAAACTAAAATTCAGAAGATTAATTTTCTTTTTTCTGTCCCAATTTTGGTGTCACGACTACAAAGGTAATGTTGTATATTAGTATATTTAGGTTAAAGTGGGTTAAAAATGGAGATATATTTAACTTCTTGAAGAATTTTAATAATGTTTAGAATAAAGGTAAGTTTAAAAGTAAAACTTTTTATGTGAATGCTAGGTGTTAATGAATGTTCTCTATTTTTGGGATAGTGGCAACGTGGAACCAACCTATAATAAGACGGTTAAATCCAGACATAGAAGTAGTATATATCCTATTCTATTAGGAAATTTTCATTTGATGTTATATGAGACAAATGATGATCTCTGACACTTGTTTAAACTTCAACAATTTCTTTACTATTCTTGTGTTGCCCACATCTTTCCCTTCTGTCACTGGGCAATAAATTTTACTTTTACGGTTAATTTTTGTCTTCATGTTGGAACAATGTAACTAGGGAAAAGCTCATTTAGTTTGTGTAAGAATGATTTTTAGTAAATACTGCGTATTCTCTTTGGTGTTCTTTTATTTTCATTTTATTATACTTTTTTGGTGGAAGAAAGAACCGTCAAAAGAAAAAAAGAAAGTTATCTTTATATGAAAGAAGCATTTCAAATTCATGTAAAATGAATGGTCTTAGTGCCATGTAAAATAGTTTTATTCGCTTAGGGATATCGCGATGGTAGTTTTCTGCAGTTGAGCGTATGTGCTGAAGTATATAAAGTAAATATAATGGCACAAAAAGCTGTCAAAAAGTAACAACCAAAGAAAATTGGATGGAAAATCATCCTCCTCATAGGAGAGAGACCAAATGGTATGTCATAGCATAGTTCTAGCTTGTCCTTTTGTGTATAATATTATCATCTATAAGCATTCATCCCTTGTTTAAGATATTCCTTACGATACATAAGTTAGCTTTTCATATTTATGTGTATGTCGATCAATGAAATTGACCTCCCACTCACACCCCTATTTGTTCCGCTGGCTAAAATGACACGGAGAATCCAAATGCAGTGATTCTTATTTGTTTGAAATAATGAAAGATGTGGTGCATATGCCCCTTTATAATGATGCGATTTCCTTCTGTGCTAGGCCAACACCCCTGACGAGTTACCGGAGCGGCTTGTAGGTGCTGTTCGTGTTTCTCATGTAGAACTGTCATCGGCTATTGTACCAAAACTGGAGCAAGCTGACGCACCATAATAGGTCAATCTTGACAGCCATTAACCTTCATAGAAATTTATTTTTGAAATATATATACACCTCCATGTTAGTCCTATCATATTTTTAATTCATTAGTTTCTCTCTCTTTTTTTTTTTTTTTTTTTTTTTTTTTTTTTTTTAGAACATCAGATGGAGGCTATATTTTGTATATAGGCTGTATAGATTGGTTTTCTAATACTAAAGGTCTTTCACTCTTGTGGTTAGAGCAGCAAATTTCATCTATGTACAAAATTGTAGGAAGTGTGATTTTTTTTGTAAGGCGCAGTTCTAGTTGTATCTGATACAACCCAGTGAGAACCACACATCAAAAGCTAGCTATTAAAGTGGGAGAGCTCAAGGCTATATAAACCCCACATCAACATATTGCAATACCGATGTGGGACTCAAGTCCCATACCTTGCAATGGACCATAACAAACCACCACGCTCCGCATCCGTCGTCCCCGACGATTGTGCGCTAGACTTTTCTAGCCCCGGGCGAACACTGCAATACCGGTGTCACCATCCATGGCATGGTGTGCACGGAGGGCAGTGGGTGGCTCTGATACCATTGATACAACCCAAGGAGAATCACACCTCAAAAGCTAGCTATTAAAGTGGGAGAGCCCAAGGCTATATAAACACCACATCGGCACATTGCAATACCGATGTGGGACTCAAGTCTCATACCTTGCAATGGACTATAACAGTATCTGCATGGTAGAGGTTTTGCTCATAGCCATTAGATAGCATAGATTTGGTGAATTAAATTGTAGGTAGATAACTCTTTTTTTCCTTTCCTCCTTTCTTTTTCCTGAAATAAGATTGGTGCAACCGTTCAGCGAGGTTGTCTTTTGTTGTTTCTCTTCTTCCTGGGATATTATACGTTTCAATGTGGTTGATGATTAAGGAAAACATTTCCCCTCGAGAAAAAACAAAAAATAAAATAAAATGAAAGGATTGCTGTGACACTTTTTTCCTTGTCTTGCATCTTTTTTATTTTTTTCTCCAACTTAGTAGGCTTCTTAGCTTGTATAATCACATAGGTGAAACAAAACATGTATGGAGAATCACAAACTTGTTCATTTATTACTGAGATTGTCTAACCTCTATACTGTCGTAAAGTCCAACTTATAGTCTCATGCATTACCAAAATGCTAATAACTGGGATTCGCATATTTCCCTTTATTCAGGTGTATCTATTGTGTGCTTCTCTCTGTTCTATTTGGAAACGGAAGCGCTGTCCAATCATGTAGTTTTCCACATTATTTGCTTATGAGCTGAATAAATGACTTAAAAGAGCACATTGAACTATCTGGATAACCACTCTGGAATATGGATCTTAATGCCATTGCTTGCTTATGAACCCCTTCATCTTTCATCATCTTGTCAATTCCTTGAACTATGTCATCTTTCTTCACCATCTCTCCCGGTTCATCACCGAGTAAAATCATATGTCCCATTTTCAAGTAATTTGCTACCAATTTGGCATCATGGAATTGGTCACCCCTGATTGGCCATGCCAAAATTGGGATGCCACGTCCTATTGCTTCCATTGTTGAGTTCCATCCACAATGCGACAGAAACCCACCAGTTGAAGGATGGCTTAGAATCAACAACTGCGGTGCCCATCCCTTTATTATCAACCCTTTATTCCCTATTCTTTCATCCAGTCCATGTGGGTAATATCCTTCTTCTTGTTGACCGTCTCCAAAGAGACCTGGAGGTGGACAGTGTCTACCTGAACCGGCCTGAATAACCCAAATAAAAGGATGGTTTGATGCCTCTAATGCATCAGCTAGTTGAGCATATTCTACCAAGCTAGGTCCAACTTCACTACCAAAGGACACATAAATCACTGATCCCTGAGATTTTGAGTTCAACCATTGCATCACCTCTTCTTCTGTAAAATTGGACTGTCGGTTTGACCTGACTTCATGATCGTGTAGTATTGAACTACTAGTTGATTTCCAATACGTCTCTGGCAACAAGGGGCCTACACACCATATTGGCTTTTCAATTTGGTTGGCCACATAATCAATGAATGGACCCTCAAGATCATGACAGGTATTGATCAACAACGTAATAGAACCCTCCACCTCATCCAACCATCGTGGTTTTTGAGGCCCATCTTCTACTCCACCTGATGGTTCATTCTGTCTATTTGGACCACCACCAGGATGATGACGGTTTCGCTTTATATCAAGAGCCATACTTTCAGGCAACCCTTTCATCTCATCCGCATGGTTTTTCCAGGCTGCAAACTCCATTGCAGCAGCACATGCACCACAAGTGAAGAAAGAGACAAAGGGTATCTCATATTTCAAGAAAATTTCCTTACTCCAGCTCATCATGACGTCCACCGCGGCGCATATAGGTCGGGTCTGGCCCGCCCCGTTGCATCGTTTCAATAGGAAGGTATCAATCCCCTGTCCTAACTGCTGATGGTCATGCGAAAAGGGCCCATGCATGAAACCATGTCCTCCTTTTTCATTTGGTGGCAAAGCTGGTAATTCTATTGCCTTGTGTGGTGGTGGGGGAGTTGATGTACCTGAAATCTCAACTACTTGAATTAAAGAATGATGACGAACGTGTGGTGGAATGGAGGAGGAGAGGTGGGAGGGGATGATAAGGGTGACTTTAAAGTTGAAACATGTCAACTTTTTGCAGAGTTCCATGCAGGGGAAGAGATGACCTTGACCGTAAAATGGGAGCACCAAGATATCTCCAATGGCTTCCATGTCTTTTCAAATAATTGGATTACACTTTGATCAAATTATTCCATGTATATATAGAAATATAGAGAAGGAATTCTACGTGTGAAATGTGAACATTGAATGTGTAAGAAAAGTGGAGAGAACTCGGTGACAGAGTGTAGCAAGTAGTAGTAGCGTCTTAGCAATGTTGAATAGTAATTAATTAGCAGAAGAAGCCAAGAGTGATGTAAAGCCAAGGTATCCATATTTTTTAGTCTTCCACTATTTAGGGAAAATTTTCTTTATCCGTCAGCAAAGCGTAAGAGGTGAGGAAAGCTCCCCCTCCCTTTTTGGGGGGAGCTTTCGTGATTGTTCTATTTTTTAATAAACACCCCCCCCCCCCC